CCCTGGAGCATCAACCGCAGAAGGCTGAGAGCCGAAAAAAAAAAAAAAAAAAAAAGGCAGACCCACACACACTAATATAATATAAATACCTTTAAATGGAGCTGTACATTCATGTCCACATCCATTGCTGCAGCATTTCTGATCATTCGGACAGTTACGGTCATGGGAACACCTCTCAACACACAGGCCTTCTCCAAGGTTTTCGCTTGGACACACTCCTGGCTTTTCTGTTACACAAACACATGAGAAACCAGATCACTGAAATGACTCGCTGCATTTGAAGGAAGGAAATAAAAAATAAATAAATAAAATAAAAAAATATATATAATCCACACACTAATAACAAATACCTGCATATGGAGGCATACACTGATGTCCACATCCATTGTGGCAGCATTTCTCATCGTTTGGACAGTCACTGTCATGGGAACACGATTCGACACACTCCTAACACTACTACTTCAAGATTGTTTATAGGACACACTCCTGGCTTTGCTGATATAGAAAACACGACAAAAACTATCACAGAAAATAAACTTTCAATACAGCTTTAAAACTTCAAGTTTAATTCAATGCGTTGCTTGAGGTTTCTTTGCTATGTAAAACCTCATAGCAGTTAGAGTGAATTTATAATTTATTTTTTCCAGCGTTTCTTTTGGAAAAACTCTAGCATTAACTATTAAATTAAATTTACTGAAAGCAGGGAGTACACGCAGCCCTAAAATCAAATCGACAGCATGCATGTCTTCTAGAGCGGTCTTTATTAGAAACACAACAGTCAGCTTCAGCAGACACTGACCGGCCACTAATGAAGAAAAAAAAAAAAAAGAAAAGATGCACCGATCGATCGGCGACCAGCCGGTCAGTCTCACTTCTTTCCGATTCCGAGCCGATCTGTTTTGTTACCAGCGGCATAGGCAATAACATCAGCTGCGCATTCTCGCGCTCTTCTCTCCGACCACACACACACACATAATATACTATATTAGTGGAGAGCACAAGCCGCCTCAGTCTCAAACAGCTTGTGAGCAACAAATACCAAAATGAGTGTCTAACTGGGCTAAAACGGTCAAATACATACAAAATTGTCAAAGTCGCCAAGACGGGCATTATCCAGTTCAACAGTCAGTTTTGGGACGTTTAATAGTTGAGCGAGAACGCAGTCCAATATTCCTGCTGCTGTCTGTCATGTTAATCAAAGAACAAAAGACAAAGAATTTCACTTTCTGCTCTTGACTCCATACGTTTTATAACTTTAATGGTAAGCATTAATCTATTTATTTTTTACAATGAGACTACAGAAATTAAAGTAATCAAATGTAAAACACTGGATGTGTTATTTTACATTTGATTACTTTAATTTCGGTAGTATTTCTTACCCGAAAAAAAAAAAAAAAAAAAAAGTTATAGCTCTTTATTCTATTGCATTTATTTGTGCGGTTTGCAATTTTTGTATTTGTTCTTATTTTATTACTGACTTATGAAAATAAAATTCAATAAAAAGAAAATCGGAATCGGCAAAAATCAGTATCGGCAGATCACACTAACAAAAAAATAATAATAATAAATATCAGCCAAGAAAGTTGCAATCGGTACAAGCTCTACTATTTTTTTTTTCCTTCAGCACTTGCAAGTCATTGGTTTTGCGAGATGTATCAAACTTGCGTATAACCACAAATGTATCTGTATCAAACCAAAGTAGTTTAGACATCTAGTATTTATCCCTAAACTGCTTCAAAAGGCAAGGAGCGCCATTACAACATAGAACCTACCCCACTACTGGTGGTGTGTACTAGTGCATAGTAATGCTAACATAAAACATGGACATGTTAATAATAAAATATTTCTTAAATTATTATATATGACCACAACCACTGCATTCTAATACACAAAAAAAATGAATCAAAATACAGACGTTTGTAGCTAAACAGACTGAACCCATGCAATCAGGCTTTTTGAACAAGTGGCTTGTAAGGTACTTAATGACTTGCATATTAAACCGATGTTAAATTGTATATTCCTTAAACGGGTAAAAATTTACAAAACATCTTGAAACCACCCCTCAACCCCCCAAAAAGTTCAGGAACGATGGCATACATGCCATGGCTTACTTGGTAACTCTGTAACCAAACGAATGGGTCCTTCTGGTAAAAAACACAAAAACAATTCCCATAAATACCATCTTCGTCATTGTGTTTTCCCTGTACAATGGGAGAAATATAAACACATAAGAACTGAATGGCTTACTTAAACTACACCAACATACAAAGTTTAACTTCCACTGGACGGCTGTACAGTAAATTTAAGTTCTGAGATGTGCCTAAAGTCATATTTTGTATAAGTTCTAATTTAAAATTTTTTGTCCTCTCTGTATAATTAAGTTAAAAGACCTCACCTATGTCTGGACCTTCAACGGGTGTTCTGCTCAAGCATACAGAGAGACACAATAAAACCGCAATCAATGCGCAGCACACTCGAGCTGTCATCCTTTCGCCCTGCGGTCTCCCAATAGACTCTGCTAGAAAACGCGCTGAATTAGTGGGTCAAGAGGCTTTGAAACCGCTTTATGAAAACGCATTTTTAAGGATCCAAGGAAGCCTGGCGCAACTCCAGCCCTGATGAAACTCACCTGCTCGTAGCCTAATCTTAAAGACCCTGATTAACTTGTTCAGGTGTATTTGATTAGGGATGCTGCGTTCACGCCATAACGTAGCCTAATAATGATGTTACTTAGTTACTTTTTATGGAAAGTAATGCGTTACGTTACTTTTGCGGTACTTTTAAAATCTGGACAGGGCATGCTTGTTTGTTTTTAAAATACAAAAAGTTCTATTTTTGGCTGTGTTGTTTAACATTTAATTATTGCAGGTTTGCGTCATATTCTGAGTTGCATTAGATTTATTCATTTTGAGGAATACTGAATCTGATTTTTTTTTGAGTGAGATGAATTAATGCATATTCATATTTATTTTAGAACTACAGTAACATCTTCTGATTTCTCTCAACATGGGGACAGGAGAGCTGTCAATCAATAAATTGGAAAAAAAAAGTAACTTGCGTTACTTATTTGAAAAAGTAACTCAGATATTCTCTTGTAAATTAAAAAGTAATGCGTTACTTTACTAGTTACTTGAAAAAAGTAATCTGATTACGTAACTTGTAATGCATTACCCCCAACACTGGTAATTACAAGATGAGATCTAGCTCTGACGCTTGTTTCACACATATGCTTCGTTTGCAGTATGGCGAGTGATTCGTGACTTTTCTAAGCTAAGCAGGAGAAGGAGAAGGAGCAGTCTACCCTTCCGTCGCCGCCAGTCCGTGTAGATTTTTGAATGGGATTGATAGGGACGTGCGACGTACTTCTCTACGGCGTTGGTGTCACGTGTCTGTGTTGCGACGTACTTCTCTACGGCGTTGGTGTCACGTGTCTGTGTTGCGACCTACTTCTCTACGGCGTTGGTGTCAAGTGTCTGTGTTGCGACGTACTTCTCTACGGCTTTGGTGTCACGTGTCTGTGTTGCGACGTACTTCTCTACGGCGTTGGTGTCACGCGTCCTGTGTTGCGACGTACCCCTTCTCACATGTAAAAAGTACACGACTGTCGACTTCGGTAGGTTATCCCCGGCATGATTCACTCGCCATATTTGCAGTGCGTGTGCGTTGCAGCAGCACGGGTTCATTGGGCCTCATTTATCAATCTAACGTAGAAACGAGCGCAGATTCGTGCGCACAAATCAACTTAAAGAGAAATTGATCTTACTCCAAAAACACCCGTTAACCTTGTAATTGCAAACAAATAGGCTACATTAATTTATACGTATATTAAAATAGCCTACTGGTAAGTATAAACAGCCTATTTAGTTCCCCTCACTCTACAACAAATATTTTAAATGTGATTATTTGAAAGGGGGTGATTCTTTTCTATACCCGACGGTATTCAGAACAGAACAAGAATGAAAAATAAGTCGTTATAAAATTATATATTAAACTATACAATAAAACGCAAATTAGGCTATATGGCATTCATTCACATATTAATAAAGTAATAGATAAATGTAAAAAGGGAATAAATATTTTAAGATGTTTGGCAGGGGTAGATTGGGGTGCAACCCGACAGGCATTGAAAAGAGTATATTGTGCAATGATTAGATGTATGATTGATTATGGCAGCATAGTATATAGTTCGGCATCAGTATCTATGTTGAAGAAAGTAAGTGGTATTCAATCTCAAGCACTAAGAATAGGAAGTGGGGCATTTAGAACATCGCCAGTCTCAGCGATGCAGGTGGAAATGGCGGAGTTGCCTTTAGACCTCCGGAGACTTAAGTTAAAGATGGCATACTGGTGTTCTGTGAGGGGGCATGTAGAAACCCATCCAGTCAAAGATGTTTTACAAAAATGTTGGGAACATGAGTATATAAATTATTGTAGTTTTGGATGGAATGCCAACGCAGATGCTAAGAAGGTAGGAATTAATGACATAAAAATAAGTTCAACGGTAGCAATACCAATTATACCCCCTTGGCTGTTCCGCATGCCAATGGTAGATCTCCAGTTGCATTTTAAAATAAATGAAAAGGAAAGGTGTATGCCTAAAGAAATAGTAGTAGATCAATATTTGAAACAAAACTATTTTAATAGTATTCAAATATATACGGATGGGTCAAAAAATCCGGATTCTGGGTATACAGCAGCAGCCATATATATTCCCTATTTTAAATATAGCACAGCTAAAAGGTTATCTAACGATGTATCTGTATTCACAACAGAAATGATGGCAATTCTAATGGCTTTGCAGTGGGTGGAAGAAATCAATCCTATAAGTGTAGTAGTTTGTTCAGATTCATATTCAGTATTAAACAGCTTAAATAGTGGGAAATCAGCATCTAGACAGGATATACTTTATGAAATTTTACAGAATTTATATAGAATAAACCAAACAGGAGTAAGAGTAGAGTTTTTATGGATACCTGCCCATGTAGGTGTAGAAGGAAATGAGGAGGTGGATAAGCTGGCCAAGTCAGCATTGAGAAAAGAAGAGATTGACATAGAAATTCCTTTAAGTAAAACAGAAGTAAAAGGTATTATTAAAACAGCAGTTGGAAGTATGTGGCAAGACGTATGGAATAAAGAGTCAAAAGGGAGACACTTATTTAGCATTCAACAGAAAGTGGGGATTGAAAGAAAGGTATATGGAAACAGAAGAGAAGATACTGTTATAACCAGGATCCGTATAGGACACTCTAACCTTAATTATTCATTGCATATAATAGGAAAAAGTGAGTCAGATAGCTGCAGTTACTGTGGAATAACAGAAACAGTTGAACATGTGCTTTTACAATGTGAGGCATATAATAGACAAAGAAAGCAACTTGTTGAAAAACCAAAAGAGATATGGAAATCAATGACATTTCAGTTATGAATATATTTCAGAATGCACAGAAACATCTAAGGGTTTATGATTTTCTTCTAAAATATCTAAGAGATACAGATTTGATTAGAAGAATTAAAAAAAATGTTTTTTATTTATTTATTTTTATTAGTAGTATATAATATATTCGTTCATCGAGGCCTCACACTCCATCCCAGTAGGTGGCGGAAATGCACCTTAAGCTGGTTTGCCAACCGCCATTAAACACAAAAGAAGAAGAAGAAGTAGCCAATAAAGATATCCGATCGTGAAGGGACCAATAAAAGCCCTGACCTATGCAGTAGGTATTGAAGAACTGATCAGACAGCGAGGGAGCTCAGCGTAATTTATGGACTCGAAGCTTGGAGAAACAAACTACATGGTAGTGTTATCATAAATATCTATATTTTGATACCGATACTGAAATATCTGACACTGTTCCATTACTCATTTTCCACAGTATCTACCGACACAGATACACGCTGCGTCTCTCTCATTTTCCACAGTATCTACCGACACAGATACACGCTGCGTCTCTCTCATTTTCCACAGTATCTACCGACACAGATACACGCTGCGTCTCTCTCTCCTCTCCGACAGTGAGTTTGACACGCATCCGCCTCCTGTCAATTACAGAGTACTAAATTACAGTGTGCAAAGCAGAAGCATCAAACACAGTTGTATCGTTATGTATCTATTAACCCTGAAACATTGTCACATTGTGCATGCGTTGAATCAGTTGGTGTGTATGTGCGTGCGTGCGACCAATCGCGAGCGAGAATCATCACATGCACATCAAAGCAAAATAAGTCAGTACAAGCAGTGCGCGTGGCAAAAAACATCCCATTATTTTCTCTTGTATTAACAAAGTTTAAAAAAATCGCTGAGAGCCGTCGTAGAAAACGACCAGGAGCCGACTCATATCGTTCACTTAAAGGAGCAGTTCGCGAACGACACACATCACATGTTTGCCAACCGCCATAAAACTCCAAAAGAAGAAGAAGAAGACACACATCACAGTCAGCATCTGCAACGAGGCCAATGATGCAGAAAGTGGGGATTGAAAGAAAGGTATATGGAAACAGAAGAGAAGATACTGTTATAACCAGGATCCGTATAGGACACTCTAACCTTAATTATTCATTGTATATAATAGGAAAAAGTGAGTCAGATAGCTGCAGTTACTGTGGAATAACAGAAACAGTTGAACATGTGCTTTTACATTGTGAGGCATATAATAGACAAAGAAAGCAACTTGTTGAAAAACAAAGAGATATGGAAATCAATGACATTTCAGTTATGAATATATTTCAGAATGCACAGAAACATCTAAGGGTTTATGATTTTCTTCTAAAATATCTGAGAGATACAAAGTTGATTAGAAGAATTTTTTTTTTATTTTTAATTTTTTTTATTTTTTATTAGTAGTATATAATATATTCGTTCATCGAGGCCTCACACTCCATCCCAGTAGGTGGCGGAAATGCACCTTAAGCTGGTTTGCCAACCGCCATTAAACACAAAAGAAGAAGAAGAAGAAGAATCCAAACGTTTCCATTTTGGCCATATTTGTAACATTTGTTAGCATAACTATTATTCATTATGTAGCCTAAACATGTCTTAATACTTCACTCATGTTCTAATATTCGTGTAAAATCCTTCACATGCGCTAAAAAATGTTTGTTTGGGCACTGCACGCTGAGTTTACAGCGGACCTTTTAAAATAAACAGTGTAACTTCTATGTTTGGTTGACTGCATTTTAGTTTGATGATGAATGGCTGAAATGTCAGGCAACGCTAGAGCTAATGTTGTTTGTGTGTGCATGAGGCGCCTGTGCGATCAGATCGATTAAATCAAATAAAGATACAAAGTAAAGAAATAAAATGCATTAAGAGTGTTACAAAAACGAGCGTATAGCCTATACTTGTTGCACAATGGTTTTTTTCCTTTTGTTAATCTGTTAATTATATTATAGCCTATTATATATTTTGTGTGATACTATTTATTTTATTCCTTTTATAGACTTAATTTCTGTTTTTCTCTTTTCACAGAAGCGCTGCATGATGCTATTCGATTGAATCATCATCACCCAGCAAGCAATTTTGCGTTTAAAGGGGTCATATGATGCTTTTTTTAAAGATCATTATTTTGTGTATTTGGTGTAACAAAATATGTTGACATGCTTTAAT